GATGGATGGATGGATGGATGGATGGATGGATGGATGGATGGTTTCCTTCAGGAAATTCATGTCTCTCATTTTTCATGCCCAGGTTTTAGACAAACTCACACAATCTGTTGGCGCTTGGAGAAAGTAATGGGAATGACTATCAGCTACTACCACACCAACTTTAGCTTGTTATCTCAGCTTTGATTATCTTTAGTGCTGCTCTCATTAACCTTTCACGTGATAAGCATAAACTAGTTAGTGTAATACTTCACAAGTCAGACGGAAAGATTTATCTAAACATTTTCACTCGGGGGCCATCAATTAATGATCACTGCCCTGCTTCATTTTCAGATTTAACAAATATTTAGGTGTTGAGAGTCAGTGTTTCATTGGCTCCGGCTGTGTGTTTTGTTTTATTTTGTTCTACAAAAATTCAAGATGTTTGCTGTGAAAAAAAAAAAGAAGTCATTTTTTTTTTAAACGTGGCATTTTGAACAAACAAACAAACAAACAGCTCTCCAGAGGTTGCGTTCATTTAGCAAAGGTTCACAGCCTCAGGCCCAAACAGCCTCAGGTAATCACCAACATCACAGTGGGTTTAAAAACGTGAGAACCTCTACTGATCGTCTTCTCATGCATCACGTAAAGAGGAACTTAAAACCTTTAATCGCACACGAGTTCTGCGCAGGTTTACCATAAATCATAGTTTGAACGGTGCAGAGGCTTGTGCAATAAAACACTCGCAGCAAACGACGAAAATGTTTGACTTTATCTTTCGAGGGTGTGATACGTGAAGTTTAAACATCACAGTGGGACTGTTCCACACTCAGCTCTGCCGCTGCTCTTTGTTGTCCATGCTGTTAGCGCACACACACATATCATACCCATAGACGTTTTGATCATTAACATTTAACGACCAGAGGAAAGGAGTGGGGCTCTCTCAGATAATTAAACCAGGAGGGACATTTTTTAACAACCCTCTCCGTCTCCTCCCCCACCTCCTCTTCCTGTCTCTCCTCTCGCTCTTACAGCTTGTAAGCAAATCTGCCTTGGCTGCAGATGAAAACAGCGATCCAAAATGGGACGAGAGGGGAACAGAGGAGTAAATCACACGTGCCAGCAGCGGGGTCATAAAGCACTGATGCAAATAACGTTTTTCATCTTTTAGCTGCCATCTGTGCCGCTTTTTTCTTTAAGTGCACTGATTTTGTTGTTGGCGTGTGGAAGCTGCATCGTGTAGCAGACATCATTAGGCTAATTTATAGTCTTCATTTAGTGTCTTTATCATCCAATTATAGACTACACTCACACTCATCCCCAGACACATGTTCAACAAAACTTCTGCCTAGGTCAAGACGATACGACGGTCGTGCTAGGCCTTTGTTGTCTTTTTGTCTTCTGGCTCACTCATTTTGTGTATTTGTACAGATTTTTAGAGTTACTGGATGTACGTAGAAGTAGGATTGTGGTACAGTTCACATCCGTGTCTTTGAGGTCACCAACACACGTCAGCACGCAAACACACTTTCAACATTTACCAAATGGCACTTGCAAAGACACGACAAGAGCAACAAGGCATTGTCCAGAAAGGAGGGACTCGGGGTGGGTGACGCCACTGGGAGTGGTGT